TAAGCTTTTTTTGCTTTGTTTTCTTCAGGATGCCATGCCTGTGACGGAAGAGTCGTGTTCATATTTCGAAATGTCGCTGGGATTGCAGACGACACACAACATACAAAAAGGACGTTCAAGTATGACGATGAACGTTTTCCTATGTCCTTCTAGCATTTGGCTTCTGCATCCATCTGTAACCGTAGTTTTTGCTCGCTTTATCTTTTGTAAGAAAAACGGCTCTGCAAGCTGCTTCTCGACAACACGATGTAAAATTAAGATCTCGTTCTTTTACGCCCACAAGTCTGATATGCCTAGGAAACGATCATCTAAAATTAAGTCGTACATTTGAATTATTTGTCAAAGTAGAAAACTTGATAATGCAAACCTGGATTTCTGCAGAACTAATCCCAAAAGTTCTCGCAAAGGTTTTCCGATCATGCATTCGATAGAACGTCCCTAAAAATCTCTACTCATTGAATATTCGAGGTTAGAATTCTTTTTTGACTTTGGCATAAAAGACTTTTTATCAACGCTTAGCCGGAATTTGTACCTTTTAGATTTTGAAAACTAAGCAGGCGATAGTCTGACCCATTGTATTTTATTATTGAGACTATGAAGTATTCTCTACTATGTAGAAAACACATCCGCGTGTAAAAAAGTTCCATAACAATTTAGTTCTTTCAAAACGCTCTCGATCTTCTACTTTGAAAACTGAACGTCATTCGTTTATGAACTCCAAACAGGGAATTGCCACGTAATTTAACACTAAAAGAATGATCTTCATTCGAAATGGATGTTATTTTGCCAAGAATTGGATCAGGTTACAAAATTTCGAATGATGATGGTACATGGCGAGGTAATAATGGTGAATGTGTCATTGAACCCACAAAGTCATTGAAGGTTTTTGTTACTACTGATGAAGTAGAAATAATAAAAGCAAAAGTCATTGAAATAGGGAAAATTTTTAAAAAAAGCTTTTATCAACAGTCAGTTATCATATATGATTCTCGTGGCTGTCAAATAAAAGTTTAAAAATATTGTCTGTCAGATAAAACATTTTTCATTTTTTTATTATTGTCATAGGATCTATTGTTGTTCCATCTGTTTTTCTGGTAGGAAAAATCTGCTTTTTACAACAAGCTCGCGGTCTTGATTTCTTTCACTGATCAGGAGAGAAACAGGTCCTGACCAGGAAAGGGGGCAAGGACCTTTTTTACTTACAGGTATCTGACCAGTGGTCTGACGAGACAAACAGGACGTCCTCTAGGGTATGCATGCAAACAACTTTTATGGTGAGGCAAGATGCAGTTATCTTTACTTTTCTTACCTGTCTTATGACCATGTTGATTTCCTTTATCAAAAACTTCACATTTGCAAACCACGGCATTGTTTTGACGTTCCAATTTAAAGAAATGAATTTTTTTCTCTTACCAGCTGCATCAAATTGAGTTAAACGGTATTGGAACCTTTTCTGTGGATTAGCAAATGGACACATGACGTGTTTTGGATATAGTTTATTCTTTACAACAACAGTCAATGAATCCATACATCAAAAAGAAAGAAACTTTGTTATTGAGTTTATAAAGTAAGAGAAATTGTGTTTCTTACCACGATCAGGCACATTTGGGTCCGCGAATACGATGCGATGCTTTATAACATAACAAAAAGAAGAGGAGGGTATCAAATGCATCTCTTAAAGCAGAAACTTCAACCTCTTTACACAAAAAATAGTCTAATTTCGGCTATTTATTCTTTCATTTCTCTTGTTTTACAAGAAATAGATATCGAACATAAGAAAAAAGAAAAAGTTTCTCCACTACTGTTTTATTATTCTGGACAAAAAGATCACTAAAGAAAATCACAAAGCAATCACAAATTCCTGGGAAAATATGCTGTAAAAATAACTTCACATGAGAAGGAAGAAATTACACATACCAATGCCAGATAAACTAGGGGTGTTACTTTAGTTTTATTGTTCATTTATAATAAAGGATAAATGTAAATGAATCATTTATACTTAAAAAATAAAGATAAATAAATGAAAAAAAAATTTATCTTTATTTTATAAAAGTAAATGATCCATTTACATTTATTTTCTAAAGTAAGACTAAATTAACATCCCTAAGATAAACCTCTTTTGATCTCATTGCAATAATATCCGAGAAATAAATACAACATTTGCACCAATTTGTCCGTTGTTAATTGTTTCCATGAAATCCATTTTTTTAAAACAGCATTAATACTCTCAACGGGATTGTTGGTAATGCCAGAAATTTCATCAAATAAACCATAGGGTCTATTGGTCCATGTACCTAAAAGAACAAAAACCTATAATTAGATGGCATTCGTAAAAACACTAGCAATTGTTCGAACACTTGTCCCCAGGTATTTTCTTGATTTATCTATTAGAAGTCCGTTGAACAAGTAGCTAAGACAGATCGACTTATCCCCCTCCTTTTCGCGTAACTGTATACAATGTAGAACTAACTAGCAAGACCTCGCTTAAGTGGACTTGTCCGGAAGTTGTTATATTTTAGCAGTTACTAGCTAATTAAAATTTCCTGTTGGATAACTCGCTCGGACAATTCAACCTGCCCTAGGAGATTTCCTCCAGATGAGGCTCTCTGTGTGGATATTACAGAGGCTAAGTCGACGTATCCAAAGGCGGTATTTTGCCCTATCGTTCTAGAGCCTGCTTTATCAAACTTTATTCTGGAGGATATGCACACAACGCAGAGTACAAACTTACCAAAACAATCAATATGCGATAAATGCCATCGTTCCCAGTACGCTGTGAATGCTGGTGCCCATTCAACCTTTTTCTTTTGATATTCATTCATAAATTCAATTTTCGTAACACCCCTTAACAAGTTACATACATCGTCCAAATGTTGTTTCACGAATAAATCTTTCAATCGTCTGTATAAATCATTCGGAGATTCGTTAGATGATGGCAATTGATTTGTTATTAATTCTGGTAAAACGAAGGGTGTTGTGGTGACGGTTATTGCTGGTGATGGTTCTTGTGCACGATTAGTAACTCCTTGATGAAGACGATTAAGATTTTCACGTAAGCACTTTTTAATGTCTTTATAAAAATGATTATGCCAACGAAGCGTTTCAAGGCCTGGAAATACGTCTGTAAATGCATTTTGTAATGCCCATTCACCATCCTGAAGCGGAGAAATAAAGTAGAATCAGTCTTAACGTTTATAAAACGTTCTTTTCGCCTATTCTTTACGACGGCATCCTGATCCTTTTCTATATCGGCGAGCTCATGGAAAAAATTCACCATATGCTTCTCTTGACTATGACCAGTATCTGCCATGGTTCATTCCATCGTTAATTAATTGATGATTTTCTTGAACGGCAAATATAGTGTGTATTAAGTTTTCGTCATTCCAACTGGTTAAATGCCTATAATTTTACTATCATAATGTTTAACTATGTAGCACCATTTGCGATCAATTAACACCAGTTGTTGTTATCATCTTTAAATCAGCAAGTACGCACTGAACTTAAAAAAATAGTAATTAAAACCGACTAGTTATTATTTAAGACAACAACTTTTCATTCATAGTTGACCAGCCTTATGATCTTGATTGTACTAGCATTACCGATTTTTGCGCTCAGTGAACAGCGGATCATACAAAATCTCAGAGAAGAGGGATTTTTCGTACAAACCGGCTCCCGACGAGAAATCAGAAGTAGTGGAGTTATTAAAGTCGATAACTGTAGTGCACGGCGATAGAGCACTATTGTCAACATGATAGCATGGTGGATGATTCGTTTGGCAAGATGTAAATGAGTTGCCGAAATCTCTTAGATATAAAACAATTGGAGTAAATAACAGATTACGAGAGATAACACAAGCATGCAAACATCAATAGGAATTAATCAGTGTTCGAATGTTAATTAACAAACATTTCTCGGTATTATACACTTTTAAATTTTTCTGTCAAAGTGTCTATTACAATCGTTTAAACAAATATGTCAAATGTTAATTAAATCAGAAGAAAATGTTTCATGTGTTAGAGATCAACTTAGTAAATAGACAGCCACCAAGTTTGGGCCTCTTTTACTAGATGGTTCGTGAGTAAGGGTGGGACAGTTCCACTTCCTATAGTTCCTAAGAACTGGTCGAAAGAACTGGTAACTAGTTCAGTTCCCGTTGAACGGGAACAGGTTACCAGTTCTTTTCAAAAGAACGAGAACTGCTACTAGTTCTTTTCAAGAATTCAAAATAAAATACAACCGATGTAGCTAGTTATATTGACTTGGTTTAGTCAACTATACACACCATCTACCTCTGCCGCACGCACTACACAAAGTCAATGTAAGTAGGTTCACCGATTTTATTTCAATTTTAATTCTTTGAAAAGAACTGGTAGCAGTTCTCGTTCAAAAGAACTGAACTGGAACAGTCCCACCCCTACTATATATGATTATAAATTTGCTAACTGGGATCTGATCAATGAAACTTGTGCACGCATTCTATTCTACCAACTCATTCGTAACTATAATAGTCTTGATGATAAGGTAGTAGCATTTGAAGAAATTCTTCATGAGCAGATAAATACAGTCATTCCACATAAAGCAATTACACTAGAACCTCGTGATAAGATTTGGTTTAATCATATATATGAAAAGGTCAGTTTGATTTCAAGGTATCTGTTTATCGAAGAAATTTCCAACCGCATTTTTATCTCTTCCTTTTGGATCAAATTACTTTTCATGGCACATGATTATATAAATTAAAGCACACACACTAAATTCATCAATCTGAAACATAGTACAACAATGTTTGTTTTGTTTGTTATAATGATTTTTAGTGGTACTGTCAACGCTAACAACGTACCAAAGAGAAGTGCTAGAAATGTATTTGGAAAGGATGATCGTGTTGCGGTCACATTGTCATCCGATCCATGGAGAACTATTGGTTATGTTTATCCGCCAGGATGTACGGGAACTCTTGTTGGAGAAGACCTTGTACTAACCGCCGCGCATTGTGTTATACATCACGATACGAACAAACTGCGATATAATAAAATATCGTTTTATCCGAATATGATCAATCAGGAATCCAATAAACCTTCTGATGTTATTCATGTTTGGCATGGGAATTACCCAAAGCAAGAAGGCGACTGGGCATTGTTGCGTTTAAACCTCTCTCTAGGTAATGAAATATAGCTGGATGGGTTGGAAAACTTTATCGTTTGACACAATGTTAGCTACAAATGGAACCCATGTGGGCTATTCCGGTGACTTTATGAGTGGAAAAACAGCTGGTGCACATGTTTCTTGTAAGATTGTCAAAAAAGGAAATGGGAATGGTGTTTATCTCCACAATTGCGATACGACGATAGGTGCCAGTGGTGGACCAATATTTGCTTTGTGGGCCGGCCGGCCGTATATTTATGCGTTAGCTGTCGCTGAAAGAAGACCCGGGGACGAAAGTTTATATTTGGATAATTATAGCGACGAATATGCAAACATAGCTATTTGGTCACAAAGTATTGGTGATACAATCGCCAAACTGAGAGGTACGGACTATATCGTTTCGTTTTTCTAAGAATCAGCAGTTGTAACTCGGATAGCACTAATTTGATAGACTAAATTTTATATCAGATAATAATAATACTACATATTTCAAGCTCTGTGTTCGAGATCATGTTTCTTCCTTGAAAGTTTAACAACAACAACATCTACGCATGCATTAACAACAACAAGTAAGTTTCCACCGTGAGCAACAATATATACAGTACACAGTCGAAAAATGTTGTCCATGGTAGAGGAAGTATTTTTATAGTATAAATAAGGGTGAACGAGAAAATGAACATACAGAAAGGGATAATAAATATACCTTATAGAACATTTATTGTTCTTACATTCAGCAGAGACGTACAAAAGTGAGCATTATACATTGGGAAGGATCACCCATAAACAGTTTATCCAAGAACTGTCAGTTCAGTGATGTAACTACATATTTATTTTATAAACGATTTTGTATTCTTACTGCACTGAGAAATGGTTTCTCTTATACTTTTATCTCATTTTATTTCATCATTAAAAACACTAGCGGCAAAGACAGTGATCAGTGTTGATCTGTTATAGTCAACACTAAATCATTTTAATGTATTTATAAAGCTTCAACATCTCTCCATACATATTGTATTTTCAGCTGTACGTTCTTGTGCACCAACCGAAATGAAGTGTTTTAATGCCATAAATAGACCTCAGTGTATCCCAGAGAAGTGGTATTGTGATGGTAAAAGGTAAAGAAATGTCTTTGTATGCTGTAAACCATTTCAAATTATTTTGCTCATTTGTTTTCTGTAACAGCGATTGCGCCAACGGGATCGATGAGGAATACTGTGGTAAATGTTTGCTTTGATTCTTGTTCAAAGACACAATCATGCTCATCTCTTTTGTTTTCAGATATAGTGTATAACGCAATCTTTAAAGTGCTCGACACAACGGGTTATGCTGACACAGGTAAGTGTTATAACTTATAACGACAAGAATCACCCACAAACAGTTTATCCAAGAATTGTCAGTTCAGTGATGTAACTATGTGTTTATTTTATGAACGATTTTGTATTCTTATCGCACTGAGAAATGGTTTCTCTTATACTTTTATCTCATTTTATTTTCATCATTAAAAACACTAGCGACAAAGACAGTGATCAGTGCTGATCTGTTATAGTCAACACTAAGTCATTTTAATGTATTTGTAAAGCTTCAACATCTCTCCATACATATTGTATTTTCAGCTGTACGTTCGTGTGCAACAACCGAAATAAAGTGTTTTAATGCCGTAAGTGGACCTCAGTGCATCTCAAAGAAGTGGCTTTGTGATGGGGACAGGTAAAAGAATTATCTTTGCTTGGTTTAAATCATTTCAAATTCTGCTCATTTGTTTTCTGTAACAGAGATTGCGCCAATGGAGTCGATGAGCAATACTGTGGTAAATGTTTGCTTTGATGCTCGTTTAAAAGACGAACAAGCTTATCTCCTTTGTTTTTAGATCAAATGCATACCGTACTGCGTGGAGCATTCAGACAATTGGATATGGTTTAACTTATATACACTTGACAAGGAATTTTTGGAGTCGAAAGCGCTTCTGATTTTTCAAATTAACCATCTCTGCTCATAGTTTGACAATTTTGCAGAACACTTTTCGAATAAATGTCATATCAGACTTGGCCGCTTGTGGTCACATCTTTTACACATTACTTTAGTGACCTTATATAGATATCACCATCACAGTATTATTATCAATCAATTCACTTCATTATAATTTTTTTTTAAATTTACATAAAGCGCTCCTTTTATTAAAGTGTGTGTGTTCTCTTCAGAGAGCTCTCTCTATTTGCTTTTTCTTCTTCAACAATAATTCATTCGATGCTTTTCGTTTTGTTGTGAGGTTAGAGATGAGATGATGATGAAAAGGAAGATGATTCAATGGAGGCAAAAATATTCTAAGAGAAAAACTAATTATTGTACATATGACTGTCTTATTGCAACTGTTCTGAATGCTAATTCCTTGTACAATTTGAAGGTAACAGCCTACGTAGTCATGTTTGAAAAAAACTTTGCATAAACATTGAGGATCTCCTTGGAACTAGGCCGTA